CGTGTTCGTGCAGCTCGTGTTGGTACTACTATTGGTCAGTACTTTGGACGACGCCAGTCACAAGGATTAGCAATAGCTAGATTAACCCCCAAGGATTTGGAACTCCTCACACAACAAGTTGTTGCACAACTCAAGAAAAATGATATCAATAATACACAGACACAGGATGTTCCTCCAGTTCAAGTAGATCTTGTCCCTGGTAGTAGTAAAGGTAGTTGTCCAACACCTTCAAGTGCTACTGCTGCGGCTATTATAAAGATAATTTAGTTATTGATGGTATAAGCCTTTTACTTTATTGCTTTGATTAGATTGTATATTTTTGCACATTTATGTGTGTTGTTCAAAGATATTGACTAACTTTTTTCTTATAGACAATTGGGGAAACCACTGAGAAATGAGAACTTATTGAACTTGTTTTAATGGTTATATGTATTAGGAAAATAATTCAAATTTTAAATTTTAAATCTCTAAGATATTATTTAGATTTTAAAAGATAATATTGATTCTTTAAGATATTGTTTTGAATTGAAATATATTGTATTTATTTTAGAGATTTGTTTTCTCTTCTAAGATTAGGATGTTAGGTTAATAAATAGAGGCTCTTGAGATGAGAAAAATTACCCGATTAGTACAGGAGGTCATAATTACCTTAAGTGAGATAGGAGGTCATATGAATGAGAGTTTCCAAGTTTTGTTAGAAAACTTGTGAGTGAGAGGTTTCCAAGTTTTATCCATAAAACTTGTGAGGGAGAGATTTCCAAGTTTCATCCATAAAACTTGTGAGGGAGGGGTTTCCAAGTTTCACTCATAAAACTTGTGAGGAAGAGATTTTCAAGTTTCAAACACAAAACTTGAAGGGAGGATTTTTAGATATATTTGTAATACATTTTCATAGATAATGAATATCCTTATGGACGTAAGCATGAAGGGTCAAACCATGTTAACTATATTTTGTGTGATATTTTCCTATTTTTTTATTATTATGATGTTTTAATGTGTTTTTAAACATTATTGTGTAAAAGAAACAAACATCTTTTGTTCCCAATAATGGTATTAAAGCTCATAGGTCATGCAGCCTCGAGACATGTCACTTGAGTATTGAAGATTGACATAAGGTGATTCCAATACTCACAAAATGAAGAGAAGAAATAATACTATAGAGCAAAAATATGATTGAAGATGATTGTGACAAGCATCCAAGATAACAAGAAGATAAAGCGTGAAAATTATAATTAATTGAGGGAGGAATTGTTGGAAAAACAATTCAAATTTGAAATTCAAATTTCTAAGATATTGTTTAGAGTTTAAAAGATACTGATTCTTTTAGAATATTGTTTAGAATTAAAATATCTTAGGATATTAGGTTAATAATAGAGGCTCTTGAGATGAGAAAAATCACTCAACCTGTAGAGGGAGTCAACGTCTTAAGTGAGAGAGGAGGTCATATGAAGGAAGGTTTCTAAGTTATGTCAAAAAAACATGTGAGAGAGGGGTTTTCGAGTTTTATTCATAAAACTTGTAAGGAAGAGGTTTCCAAGTTTCACTCATAAAACTTGTAAGGGAAGGGTTTCTAAGTTTCATTCGTAAAACTTATGAGGAAGGGGTTTTCAAGTTTCACCCACAAAACTTGAAGGGAGGATTTTCAAATACATTTGTAATACATTATGATAGATAATGAATATCCTTGTGAATGTAGGAATGTAGGGCCAAACCGTATTAAATAAATTTTGTGTGATCTTTTCATATTTTTTATTGTATTGTTTTAATGTATTTGATGGAAACCTTTAGGAGGAACTAGATTGTTGTAGCTTCTTCAAATTTCCTTCTAGATCTTTTCCTTCTTGACACTCTTCAAGCTTCTTTAAGGTCTCTAATGGAGGATGAAAACTTTGAAATCACCTTCAATGATGAAGGACTCTCTTCAAGTGGTTCCACTTCAAATAAGAAGATAAATCACTTCAAATCTCACCATATTCTAAGGAAAAGGATAAGAGAATTGGAAGTTAATCAAAAGAGAGATTTAAGATTTTGAGAGACAAAACTCTTAAGTTTAGACACCCAATTTCGTCTGCAGTACTTGAAATTAAGGAGAAAATCTATTAGAACGAGACAAGAGGCCCTTGAGGGCCCAACACGACACAAAAACGAACCAAGACAACTATGTGAAGGCTAGAAGCTCAAGAAGGCCAAACTAGAAGCTTGAAATAGGTTGTTCCAAATCTGGAATGAGCCGTTCCAAACCACCCAAAAGGCCTGAAAACCCTGGGTCAAAACGAGTCATTCCCAATCTAGAATGGGTCATTTTGACCTAGGTTGTTATGAACAAAATATATGTTTGGAATGGGCCATTTCAATGTTGAAACGGGTCGTTCCAAATTTAAAATTTTCCCACAACAAACTCATTTGTAATGACCCATTCTGGTACTCAAAATGGTCGTTCCAGTTGAGTTAGGAGCCTATAAATAGGCATCTCAAGCACAGTGCAAAGGTACCCAAAAATTGGCATTCTTTAACCCATTTTTAGTAGTTTTAGCTCAGAAGTTTCTTCTCCCTCTATCTCTTGTATTTCTCGAGTGTGGTAAGGATTTTTGTAGAGTGAAAGGCTGTCAAAAAGCACCTGATTCCCACATTTGAAGAAGAATTCTAAAAGCTTGCTTCGGAGGTACTTTCATTAAAATTCCTTCATTTTTCTTTAATACTTTGTTCATATGATAATCATCATAAATAAATAGTAATCATGTAGACATACTATTTTTGAAATGTGTGGGGTCTAAACCTCTATTTTTACCAGCAATTGTAACTCAAAACAACATGTAGATAACCATTAAAAAGGGAACAAATATTCAAATTGTTATTCTTTATTATGTTAATTTCATCATAGAGTACCAATTTACGGTGTTATAGGGTGCCTAATAGCTTCCCTACATGTAACCGACTCCCAAACCCAATTCTGGCTATAAAGGCCATTTTGGTACTTCTAAAAAAATCTTTTCTTTTTCTAATATTTTGAATAAAACATCAATGGCAACTCTTTCAAACCTTTTTTCAAAAAAAATGTTGGTTAGGGATTAGTTTGCTCTTCGGGCATTCTCTAACCGATGAGATTTTCAAATGGAACTCCAAATCATCTATGGGCAAGATCAAAATTTTTTGGTTCCGACATTGAAGAATCTTGGCCAACTCTATCAAATGCTCAAAAATTATGTACAAATGGTTCCAAGCACCTATATATATATAGAGTTTAGGTAGCTTGGAGAGAAAGCTAGACATCTAGGAGATAAGGAGACACTTAAATCTAGTTCCACCAATCAAAAACAAGCTCTATGAGACATGTTTGAGACATGTAGGAGACAACTAGATTGAGAAAAGCCATTGAACAAGTGCCAAGTGTCATCTTGTCTCTAGATGGTTGTAGAAGTAGTTCCAACATGGAGAATAGCCAAAATGGGTGGTCAAGATGGCCTTTGGCTTGTTTTGGCCAACCCAAAAACCAAGGAATTGGTTTATTTTGATTAACCAAATGAATGTTAAACCAAGCCAAACCAATTCCTTGGGCTAAGAGAAGAAAAATAAGCCTAATATCACTTTTGGCTATTTCCACACCTTTACTACTTCCACACCATTTAAAATGGCTATTGCCACATCACTAGAATGACTATTTCCACTCCAACTAATAAACTCAAAAAAAAACTAAAAATGGTGACCATGAATACAAGGTCAAAAGGAATACATTTCAATGGGGGAAGATGCCTCTAAATCCTAAAGGCATGACCTACAAAAAAGGAAACATACAACCCTAAATACAGGTAAAAATAACCTATACATTTAACTACTACATACAAAGGAGTGGAAAACAAATTATACAAAATATATACAATAGAAGACTAGGAAACTAGGAAAATAACACATACTTTATGCTCATGATAAGCACAAGTCTAAGAAGCACAAAATTTGGTTATATCACGTTTCAAAAGTAAGACGAAACAACAAGTAATTTCCCAGCTTTAACTTTATGTTATTATTTGAAGCCTAAAAAGGCTTTGGTGTAAAGAATACTCAATTGTTAAAGTCTAAATAGGTTTTGTTGTTCAAAGAATACTTGAATAGTTGTTTAAATAGGCAAGTTAAAGAATACTTAGGTTGAGCCGTATAGATTACTGTTCTATACTTGTATGATTGATTTGTGAATTCTAGCTTACCCTTCTGTTTCCA